AAGAAGAAGAAGTAGATAAGGAAGAAGGAGAAGTAGACAAGGAAGAAGGAGAAGTAGACAAGGAAGAAGGAGAAGTAGACAGGGAAGAAGAAGAAGTAGACAGGGAAGAAGAAGAAGTAGACACGAAAGAAGGAAAAGTAGAAAAGGAAGCAGGAGAAATAGATAGGGAAACAGGAGAAATAGATAGGGAAACAGGAGAAATAGAAAAGGAAGCAGGAGAAGTAGACAGGGAAGAAGGAGAAGTAGACAAGGAAGAAGAAGAAGTAGAAAAGGAAGCAGGAGAAGTAGAAAAGGAAGCAGTAGAAGAAGACAGGGAAGAAGGAGAAGTAGACAAGGAAGCAGGAGAAATAGATAGGGAAACAGGAGAAATAGAAAAGGAAGCAGGAGAAGTAGATAAGGAAGCAGCAGAAGTAGACAGGGAAGAAGGAGAAGTAGACAGGGGAGAAGGAAAAGTTGATAGGGAAACAGGAGAAATAGAAAAGGAAGAAATAGAAGTAGACAGGGAAGAAGGAAAAGTTGATAGAGAAACAGGAGAAATAGAAAAGGAAGCAGGAGAAGTAGAAAAGGAAGTAGGAGAAGTTGATAGAGAAACAGGAGAAATAGAAAAGGAAGCAGGAGTAGAAAAGGAAGTAGGAGAAGTAGAAAAGGAAGCAGGAGAAATAGATAGGGAAACAGGAGAAATAGAAAAAGAAAAAGTAGATAGAAACCCAAGAGGAGTTGATAAAGAAAAAACAGAATTGGAAAATTTAAAACTAAATGCGCAAATAAAAAAACGAATACCTATAGAAGAAGTAATTAAGCAAATTGGAGAAAAATATGAATATGTGGAGAAATTGAAAGGATATATTAAGGCTAATGCAAAAAAAAATGAAGCTTATATAAATGATAAATACGATTCTGAGATTAGTAATCCTACTACATATTTAATTCCAGGAGTAGGAGGAAGTACTTTAATTGCTCAATATAAAAATGCACAAATTAATAGTTGTGGTAAGAATACCTTAAATTCAAAACCTTTTCGAATATGGCTAAGCTTAGGTAGATTATTTTCTATAATATCAAATATATATTGTACATTTGATACTCTAAGATTATCATATGATGAAGAAACAAATTTGTATTACAACCAAAAAGGAGTAATAATTAGGACAGAAAAATATGGTTCTCTTAAAGGAGTTGATTATTTAGATTATTTTAGCAATACAGGTATAAGATTAACGAGATATTTTAATTTTCTATCTTCCCGATTTATCTCTAATGGTTATGTAGATGGTGACAGTATAGTCGGTGCACCATATGATTGGAGATATCCTTTGTATCAGCAAAATTTTGAAGTTCTTAAAGCACACATAGAATATAGCTATGAAATGAGAAAGACAAAAATAAATTTAATTGGTCATAGTCTTGGTGGTTTATATATTAATTATTTTTTAACTAGAAAAGTAGATAAAGAATGGAAAGAAAAATATTTGAATTGTGTAATATACATGAATTCACCATTTAAAGGTTCCTTTAAAACAATTAGAGCATTGCTTCATGGAAATAGGGATATGATATCTTTTAGCCTTTCTAAGCTTGCTAAACTTTCAATATCAGAAGGTATGATGAAAGCTATTGGAAATAGCATAGGCTCATTATTTGATCTTATCCCTTATAGAGAATATTATGAATACGATCAAATTGTAGTTTTGATGAATTTAGATAGTACACCAGTTGATCAAGAGAAAATACAGTTTTTAATAAAATCATGCGGACTGTATAACCAAGAATGCTATACAAAAAGAGAAGATGTAAAATTACAAGTATTTACCTTATCAAACTGGCACACGTTATTAAATGATGAACTGAGAATAAGATATGAAAAATATTCACCTTATGTTGATAAAAAATTTTCCATGGATCATGGTATCCCTATATATTGTGTATATAGTACTGATAAAAAAAAAACTACAGAACATGTATTATTTTTTCAATCTCCCGATTTAAATAAGGAACCTTATCTTTACTTTGGTGAAGGTGATGGAACTGTACCTTTAGAAAGTTTAAAAGCATGCAATAATTTTTTTAACGCAAAAGAAGCCAAACATTTGCAAAATGTTAACCATTCAGGAATTTTACATAATAGTGATGCTGCTAAATATATATATAGTAAAGCTCACGTAACCTATGAGTAGAAAAAAAAAAAAAAAAAAAAAAAGAGTAACCGGGAAGGGGTGGAAATGAATGCCTTTTTACTAAGTGATAAACTATTATTTGTATTTTTTTTATATGATTTTGTTTTTTAATTTTTTTTTTATTATTTCTCATTTTTATATTTCTCTTATATGATTTAAAGTTTTTTAGAAGATTCATTTTTTTTTTTTTTTTTTTTTTTT